GGGGGGGGGGGGGTACGCATCCGCGGCCCCCCTTCAAATAATCCTGAATCCGCCCCTGTTACGTATGTTTCATATGTTTATGTAAATCCCCAAATGCACCATTTTCCCAATTTTTGGTCCATAACATACTAACTACTAATAACAAACTCCTTGAGCACATTAAACTGGTTTATTTGATTGCTTCACTGGAGTTCCACAAGTCTTAAGAAAGTTCTATCGCTGCAACAGATGTTATGTGAGCGCTGTCAGTTTGATGAAGTGAAATAAGGGCAGTCGTTTCAAGTGATTTCGTTGAAAAATATTCTCTCAAAACATTGCAGTACAAACACTTAACTTGATCATCGCGTTACATATTTCGAAAATATTGTAGAATCGCTTGTCATATGTCCTTTGGTTTTATTCAATTGACATAAGTATGAACTTTATTTCGAACGGAAAAAAAAAGTATTCAATTTCGGTTTAGATGTGGCTTTGGAACGTTAAAATTATAGGTTCATAAATTAGCATTACAATAATATGTCATCTTCCCTTTTCATTGGCAGGGATTGAAATAAGATATTGCCAAGGAAGAGACTGAAATTCACCCGATGACGATATTTGTAGATTTAAAGCCGACAGGACGAACTTTCATCTCAGTTGACTTCAGGGAGTGGTGGCTTCCTCTAAATGCCCGCCAGTTAACACCATCACCATCTGAGCTGTGATCACCCAGGTGGTACAGGCCGTTCAGATTGGAAAAGTGGCAACCCTTGTACCACCAAGCTCCCTTGTAAAACTGTGCACAATGCTTTTTATGTGTATCCGAATCGTTATCTCTGTCCTTTGTGGAGAACGACGCACCATTATGGTAGGATAAGGAATCACCTAGAATGAATGAATGATGAAAATATAATTAAAGGGACTGTTCAATCCACTCTTTGCTGTCTTTTGTGTTTCGATTTAACTGTTTTTTCATCTGAAGATATATGGCTTGAAAGCAACAGAAACATCATATTTCTTATACTTGTGAAATTTAAGGGAAGATGACATCATTCATTTTCTTTTTTATTAAACTTAAATAATAGATACTACGTCCCTATTTTAATTAGGCTTGGGCCAATTTGACAAAATTAGTTACAATTATTAAGAATATTCTAATTACTTGTTATTGTACACGTATTTAAGGTAGAAAAAACCCAACATTCTCAAAAATAAGTAAATAAATAAATAAATAAAACTTGCAAATCATCAAGTATAAGCTGAGCATCAACACAAAAACCTGCCCCAACAATATCCCCTAACTGTTTACTGGTAAACAAACCTGCGTCCCCAGAATATGCACCAAGTGTTAACTAATAAACAAACCTGCGTCCCCAGAATATGCACCAACTGTTTACTGATAAACAAGCCTGCATCCCCAGCTGCAGAATATGCACCAAGTGTTAACTAATAAACAAACCTGCGTTTCCAGAATATGCACCAAGTGTTAACTAATAAACAAACCTGCGTCGCCAGAATATGTCCCAAGTGTTAACTGATAATTAGTCCGTTCGGAGGAGACAGCAAAGTTATCATAGCGAGCATAAACTTTCACCCCTGTGGCGTCTTCTAGGTCAACACGGAGTTCATAGTGCCCCTGGTGAGTTAGGAGATTTATTTGGTCGTTTCCTTGGAAAAAATAAGGTTATAAATTATAAATACACTGCATATAAATCCATTAAATACATTCTTTAAATAACAAGGACGAAGATAGATAACTTGAAGAATTTTATGATTGAATACATTATAATAATTGTGATAAAATATACTTTATTTTGAATATAAAAATGACAGTCTTTAATGATAATTAAATAAAAAAGGACTTTTGTTTGCCAAAAGAATGATTTTTAAATTCCTGAGATTAATCAATTCTCAGCGCACAACCTATGTTCCCCGTTAGGTTAAATACATTTTACGTTAAAATATACTAGTAAATAATAATATTAATTATTGAAAATTAAATGGAAGTTGAGGTATTTTATTTGCAAGAAGATCCATTTATAAATTTCCGGGATAAAGTAATCTCCAGCGCACAACCTACCTAACCAGTGTTCCCCGTTCAAGTTACCAAAGCCGTGTTTGTAATCTTGCCAGCCACGGTAGAAGTCTACTGAGCCGTCCATACGCTTCTGGAACACCTACAACTTACAAGACAAACTGTTACACATAGTATTCGATTTCTTTTTTAGAGCCATTTAAAAGTGGATGGTAATGAAAAGATTATGAAAAGATCCATAGAAAAGATCCAATGGAAAAAAGGTCGAGGCATTTTCTTAGACATGTAAAAAAATTGAACACAATACATGGCGTTAACTGTAGCTTTATTGATATATCATCCCAAAACTGAACTTTCGGCGATGAAAATATATTCGACATAATTACTCCTCCTCCCCCCCCCCAAAAAAAAAAAAAAAAATTGAATTCAACCACATTGACGACCGGCAGCTGTTGAACCTACCGTCCATCCTCCCCCGTCAGTGGTCATGTCACAGTAGACATCGAAGGGACTTTGGCCGTTAGAGGGGGTAATGGTATACACTCCGCTTAGTTTTAACCCGTTCTTGTAGAGTTCAGCACAGTCCTTGCCGTCAGCTGAAAGTATTAACATCAGAAGATGACCTTCAAATTATTGTTTTTCTTTTTATCAAGAGCTTGTAAAATATGTGGGTATTACCTCCAATATTTCTGTGACTGTCAGTCACCATCATCAGGGAGTAAATGACTAGGGTCATTTCACCTGGAATGAAAATCCAGGTCAATTGCCCCTAATCACTGGCCTTGTGTTGTAACTGTTACTTGCTCCCCCCGGGGCTCCTCTGCATCCCTCTGGAGCACCGTGAGGTAGATAGCTGGTAAATCATACCCCCCCTGTCTGTTCAGGTCTGGTTGTTTGGTCCTGATGTGTACAGCTTCTGCTATTTTTCTTTGGAATGTCCAGTTTTCCCTGTCTATCACTTTCAGGCTGTCAAAATCTATGTGTTGACCTGGATGTTTGCAGGTATGTTCTCCAAGGGCTGATTTCCAGTTGTTTTTGGCCACTGAGTCTTTGTGTTCTTTCATTCTTGTGGCTAATGGTCTTCCTGTCTCGCCAATGTATTCTCCTTGGCAGGTTCATCATTTGACTGAATATATCAGACCACATTGCTCTAGTCATTTACTCCCTGATGATGGTGACTGACAGTCACAGAAATATTGGAGGCAATACCCACATATTTTACAAGCTCTTGATAAAAAGAAAAACAATAATTTGAATTTATACATACAGAGCTAATGAAACTGTTCTCTCAGAAGATGACCTGTTTTACATAGATGCCTTATTAGGTGCCTTGTACTGGTCTCAGCACAAGAGGTGCAAATGCAAAATCAAGTTATATCGCTTAATAGGTTAATGAAGGCTAAACAAGCTAAAATGAATAAATTAATTAATTAATAGATTATGGAGCTAGCGATAAAGTAATAGGGGTAATTTAATATATCAAAAAATGTATATATAATTTTATCTGCGTGTACCTCCTTGCTTTTCCGAAGTAAATTTTGCCACGTTGATTTGCAACTTTGCTGTAGTTTCAACTAATGTGGTATATTTAACCAGTAAGTCGTCATATTTGTTCTCTAGTGTCTTCAGTTCCTGCTGCTGTGTCTGAACAACATTCTGCAACATGTCCAGCAGTCGGTCAGTTACAGCACATTGCTGAGGAGATGTTCCACCTTGGTTTACCTGGCGACTGATATAATATAATATAATATAATATAATATAATATAATATAATATAATATAATATAATACTAGAAAAGCACCCAGAGAGCGCAGACCTCCCCCAAGGCAGCAGTCTCCATCCAATAATTTTCATTCTATAATGATTTAGTTTTTTGGTTTTTGATTATTGATTGATTATTGATCCGGATCACCACCAAAAACTGATCATCTTTCCTTGGCCCACTTCTGACAGTTCCTGAAAATTTCATCAAAATCGGTCCATAACTTAGTTTTTTTTTATTTTTGATTATTTATTGATTATTGATCCAGATCACCACCAAAAACTAATCACTTCTACGTTAACCCATTTTTTACATACCCTGAAAATTCCATCGAAATTCATCCATAACTTTTTGAGTTATGTTGATGACAAACAGACAGACAAACAAACAGGGGTGAAAACATAACCTCCTTGGCGGAGGTAATAATATAATATAATATAATATAATATAATATAATATAATATAATATAATATAATATAATGCTTGGATGTATTCCAGGTACTCTCTACCAGAGAACAACTGATGACGTCATTTCTAACAGTTCTTTCTGAGATTGTCACTGTCCAAAAATATGCATAGAATTAGCAAGATAAATATCTGCTAACATAGAGTGAAAATATTTCTGTGGACATGTACCTGGTGTCATGTACCAGAAAGACCCCCAATGACAGAGAGTCCGCTTTCCATTCATTTATACAGGTGAGCCTTGCTCTAGATTTTGACTCATTCAGGTCAGGCTAACCCTAACCATTATAACTAAATGGAGGGAGGACTTTCTGTTACACGGACCCTCAGTTTCCCGACACCGGTATGTCTATACCTTTACCTTCTACCAAGGCTAAAGATTGTTTGTTTTTTTAATTTTTTTACAATATATTCACCGCTCATTCATGAAACAACGTTGGTGAATTGTGCACATAATTAATCTGCGGCTCTAATAGAGGGCATCCATCGTTTTATGTGGAAAATTTCTAACAAGCAAGGTGAAAGAAGTGATGTTAACTACGCGGTGTACGTCACAGAAAAACAAATATTCTGCGAAGCCCGATGCATAGAGAAATTTTCTTCTTTTATCAAATCCCGGCTAAACTCACAAAATTACATGCAAAGCACATGCAGAAACATATAAGCAAACGCGCAAACAACAACATTGACACACAACGAAATAAAGAACACTCGCAAGCTCACCTGCACGTAATCATAACGTAAAAACAAGCGTTCGTATAGGTCAGTTTTTTTTTTAAACCGGCGTCTTACCGTTGAATAAAATGTCCTCGTGTTGAAGTCCACAAGCAGAATACAACCAGAGCTATCAGGGCACTTGAAGCTGACATTTTGTAGATCTACTAAAAAGCAACAAAATTTACATCTAAAGAAACCCGTCGACACACGGAAAATAACTCAAACTTATAAGCGTGGCTTTGACTTAGCCATTTCAGTATTGTGTAACGATGTAATTTTTTATCAATATAGCTTACTTAACCCTGCCACGGGTATAATAATAATAATAATAATAATAATAATAATAATAATGATAATAATAATATTAATAATCACTTCTAGCACATTCCATTTCCTTACATTTCAATGCAATTTACAACCATAAAAAAGCGAATTTATATGCACGAACTATATGTGCCTTTGACATCTTTTCCTACCACGAAAGCAATTTCTACACTTGTTGATTTTTAAAGAAATTTAACCTACACTCAATAACTCCGTATCCTTTTACTCGTTTGATTCCTCTTTAATTATTACCTGCAATTAGTGTGAGCCATTAACGTTACAAAACTTACATTAATACATACATACGCACGTACACACACGCTTGCTTACCTTTGTAGTCAAAAACTAAACTAATATAACAGTCAGGGCAGCGTGGCAATGTGAGTCTGAACAGGATCTGGACAACTTTTTACACTAGTGCCACAGGAAAAAAACACCAGTAATGCAAATATTTGTAACTTTATTCATATTGTATCCTGTTTGGTTAGTCTCCAAAAGAAAGATCTGGTAGCTGGCAGTTAGCCAGAAAGTTTTGGAGAAGGTCCGCTTTCTCAGCTAGGTCAGGTGCTGTGCATTTATACCCCATTCCCATACCTAGATCGAACTAACGGGATCGTTCCACCTTCGAGGGGATTCTCCCTAAATTGCCTTCAGCTTAAACGGCTCTGATGTCTGGCACGCCTACTGAAGCTGTTAGGGGATGATTAACTATATAGCTAAGCAGCTTCAGTGGGCGTGCCAGACATCTAAACCGTTTAAGATGAGTGCAATTTAGTAAGAATCCCCTCGGAGATGGACCGATCAAGCTAGATCGATCTAGGTATGGGTCTTATCGTTAACTGACGAAGTCTATTACAAACAATGCCTGACACCGAGCCTGAACTGGATCTAGACAACTTTTTACACTTGTATACTAAATATACATTTTGTATCCTGTTTGGTTAGTCTCCAAAAAGGAACCGGTCGCTGTCTGGGTGTCATCTGATACTGTAGCCATGGAAACAACCGATTGGTTGTGAAATGATAAGCCATAACTGGGTCTCTCCACAAAAAATAACCTTCTGATTCATGGCAGAGACGCACATAGTCTATGAAATAAATCCTGGTTTCAATACTTATGTCAAGTGCTAAACAGAAAAGTAACTGATATTCTTCTCACTTCTGAGTTCATTTCTTCCAATCTAAGGTCATTCATATGAAAAAAGTCCATGTGTTGGATGCGCTTTGGCCTACTTGGTGTAATTATTTCTCTCGGTTACTTATTTCACTCTAGTCGGACGAAACAAAAGTTTGATTGCAAAGAAAGCACGTCAGTGCTGCAGAGGTATTCTTTCTATTTTTAATGCGAAATTTATCCTTCAACAAAACGCAATGAACAACTATGATTCCCGACTGCCACCCTGCATCTGTACTGTTGACGTACTTCAATCATGTTATGTAAACAGATTCAAAATACATCATATACCTCATGTTTTTGTCTTAAACATACTAACTACTAATAACAAACTCCCTGAGCACATTAAATTGGTTTATTTGACTGCTTGAATGGGTTCCACAAGGTTGAAGTACTGTCGCTGGAACAGATTTCATGCGAGCAATGACAGTTTAACGAAGTGAAAAAAAGGCACTCCTTTTAAGTTATTTCGTTGAAAAAATGTTCTCTCGAGAGATAAAAAACATTACAGTACAAAAACTAATCAAATCACATATTTTTAAAGTATTGAAAAATCGCTTGTCATATGTCCTTTGGTTTTATTTAATTCACATAAGTACGAACTTTATTTTGAATGCAAAAAGAAGTATTCAATTTCAGTTTAGATGTGCCTTTGGAACGTTAAAAATTATAGGTTTAGCATTACTATAATATTTCAAATCCACTTTTAAAACGTTTTCATTGGCAGGTATTGAAATAAGGTTTTGCCAGTGTAAGAAGCTGGAATTCATCCAATGACGATATTTGCAGATTTGAAACCGACAGGACGCAATTTCATCACCGTTGTCTTCAGGGAGTGGTAGTACCCTTTAAATGCAAGCCAGTTGACGCCATCAGCGTACGAGCTGTGATCACCCAGGTGGTACAGGCCGTTCAGATTGGATGCATGGCAACTCTTATACCACCAACCTCCCTTGTATAACTGTGCACAATTCTTGTCACTATTATCGTTATCCCTGTCCCTTGTGGTGAACGGCATACCATTGTGGTCGGATAAGGAATCACCTGCCGGTAGAATGATAATAAGATAGTAATAGGAACTATTCAATCCACTTTTGCTGTCAAAAACATCTTTCTGTTTCGGTTTAACTGCTTTTTCATCTCATGATTAATAAAATGAAAGCAATAAAAACACCATATTTCTTATAATTGTGATACTTAAAGCAATAATAACTCTCGTTTCNTCTCTTAAGAGATTTTAACAGAGTATAGACATCAATGGAGGTCACGTGGTCTAAAGACAAGTTCAGATATCAGAATAATAGCTATAACTGCTGTTTTTGCGGAAAAAACAGAATATATTATATTTCTGTGAGTTATTCACAAGGTTTTTATTGGGAAATATAGATCTCATACGAAGAGTTATTATCCCTTTAAGTGGAAATGACATTATTTTTCTTTCATTTAAAAGAGATTCTAGATCCCTACTTTATTTAGGCTTGGGCCAATTTGACAAAATTGGTTATGATTACTATGGGTTTTCCTATGACTTATTATTATACACGTAATTTAGGTATAGTAAAATCCCAGCATTCTCACAAGAAAACAAAAACAAAACAAAACAAAACAAAAAAAAAAACTGCAAATCATCAAGTATAAGCTGAGCTTAAAATACAAACCTGCGTTTCCAGAATATGCTCCGAGTGTTAACTGATAATTAGTCCGTTCTGATGAGACAGCAAAGTTATCATAGCGAGCATAGACTTTCACCCCTGCGGCGTCTTCCAGGTCAACACGGAGTTCATAGTGCCCCTGGTGAGTTAGGAGGTTTATTTGGTCGTTTCCTTGGAAAAATGAAGTTATAAATTATAAATACACTGTGTATACATTCATTAAATACATTGATTTAATAGCAAGAGCACAGATAGATAAATTCATGAAATTTGTGATTAATTACATTTTAATATTTATGATTTACTACAGTTTACTTTAAAATATACCAGTGAATAATAACAGTAACTAGAAAAGCACTCCGAGATCGCAGACCTCCGCCAAGGCAGCGATTTTTGATTATTATTGATTATTGATTGATTATATATCCGGATCACCACCAAAAACTACTCATCTCTTCCTTGGCCCACTTCTGACAGTTCCTGAAAATTTCATCAAAATCGGTCCAAAACTTTTTGAGTTATGTTGATGACAAACAAACAGACAAACAGGGGTGAAAACATAACCTTGGCGAAGGTAATTATTTACAATAAAATGAAAGGGAAGTATTTTGTTTGCAAAAAGATTGATTTTTAAATTCCTAGGATTAACTCATTCTCAGCGCACAACCTACCTAACCAGTATTCCCCGTTCAAGTTACCAAAGCCGTGTTTATAATCCTGCCAGCCGCGATAGAAGTCTACTGAGCCGTCCATACGCTTCTGGAACACCTACAACTTACAAGACAAACTTACAAGACAAGCTGTTACACATAGTATTCGATTTCTTTTTTAGAGCTATTTAAAAGTGGATGGTCATGAAAAGATTATGATCAAAAGATCCACAGAAAGATCCAGAAAGTACAGGTACATTAGGTATCTTTTTAGATATGTCAGAAAAAAATTAACACAATACATGTCGTTAACTTCAGCTTTACTGATATGTCATCCCCAAATTAAACTTTCGGCTGGGAAAAAACATTCGACACAATCGCCCTCCCACCACCCCAAAAAGCTGTTGAACCTACCGTCCATCCTCCCCCGTCAGTGGTCATGTCACAGTAGACATCGAAAGGACTTTGGCCGTTAGAGGGGGTAATGGTGTACACTCCGCTTAGTTTTAACCCGTTCTTGTAGAGTTCAGCACAGTCCTTGCCGCCAGCTGAAAACATAAACATCAGAATACTATATACCTGAGTGACCTGCTCCCCTGACCAAGGAGTGGTGTGCTCATAGTAAACGGTTTAAGTATAGGTCTAATTACAAAATGTTTAAACCAGTAATACACCATTTATTAACCAGCTGTTCGTATTAATATTAAACGGATAAAAATTGGGGGAATTTAATTCTTAAATATCTGCAAACCTCCTTGCTTTTCCGAAGTAAATTTTGCCACATTGATTTGCAACTTTGCCGTTGTTTCAACTAATGTGGTATATTTATCCACCAAATCGTCATATTTGCTTTCCAAAGTTTTCATGTCCTTCTGCAACATGTCCAGCAGCCGGTCAGTTACAGCACATTGTTGAGGAGATGTTCCACCTTGGTTTACCTGGCGACTGATATATAATATAATATAATATAATATAATATAATATAATATAATATAATATAATATAATATAGGAGAACCTGGTGGTTATAATGCACTATTATTTCGTGCACCGTGTTAATAGTCTATAATGCAAGAAAAAACTTGCGCAGAACCATTTTCTTAATTGACTGCTGTTGGCGACGTATTTTTACTTCACATCTTGGAGACAAAACCGCAGTACTAGTTACCTTACAAACTTTACTTGAAGCGACAATGAAACGTGGACGTTCTGCTAATGATTACAGCAAATGAAAAGCTGACACCCATGAAGGCGCCGGTTTATAACAAGCGTTAGTATAGGTCATTTTTTTAACTGGAATCTTACCGTTGAATTAAATGTCCTCGTGTTGATGTCCACAAGCAGAATACAACCAGAGCTACCAGGGCACTTGAAGTTGACATTTTGTCAAAAACGACAAAACGCACAGCTTAGGAAATCCTTCGACGTTCTCCGTACCAAAGTCTTTAATGCGCGTATTTCTTCTTGTAAATTGGGTTTTGAGGCTTTTTAATCAGCGGGCAAGAAGATATCATTCTGTTTGTACTGATTATCATTTGCACAATTATGTATTTTTATCTACTTGGCTTCAGCACATCCAGGGTTTTGTTTGCTGATCAGTAGACGGAAGAAATCCACCCTCTACCAGGGCAGCAGATGAATTACTTTGCACTTTGCACTTACGTGAGTGCACTGTAGGAAAGTGCCGTGAATTAGCCAGTGACATATCTGTGAATATCTGGTGAAAAATGAATCTGTGGCGCTGGTAGAGGACATCAAAAATCCAACATCCGAAGGCTCGGGAACGCTGGTCGGTGAGATCAAAAGAGTGTCCCTGTAGCTCGGTTATCTATGTGAACTACAGACTAGGACACAGGTCACTCTATCTAGCCCTGCGGTGTGGTGAAAGCATCTGTTCTTCGTTTAACAAGTCTATATTTGTTTGTGGATCTTACTTTACTTATCTGTGGTGATATTCGCAAGAAATAATATTTCAACTATAACTGTTTGAATGATAGATACTGTAGGAGAAAATAAGTGGTACATTGTTCAATAATTTGGACGTATAAAACTTGAAACTATCGTGCCTCTGTAATACATGAACTTTGATACAAAATTGGAGCAAATATTTTAGGTATCGTTGGTGTTGCCCTAATATAATATAATATAATATAATATAATATAATATAATATAATATAATATGGGAACACCTCATGGTTGTGATAATTCCACTATTGCATTACAATAAAACATCCTATTTTTCAAGAAAAAGAAGAGAGCAATGTTCTCATTCCGCCATAGTTCAGCATGGGAGACAGCAGAATATAGTCATTACATCTCTTATTGACTTTTCACATATGACTTCAATTTGGTCTTCTCTTGTGAATTTTTTGTGAATTTCCCCTACGTTTTGAGAAATATTTCACGTTTAATTTTGATTTTTTTTTGACAAGGGCCCAGTGCGACTAGTGTCACAGCTATGCAAACTCGCCGATTGTTGAGATTTTTTTCAATGACCTTAATGCGTCAGATGAGGGCACAGGTCTGTAGTCCACGAGGAGGTGTGGACACGGTCACGTGTTTCCTCCGACATTAAGTGGACACAGCAAATGCGCTGGTTGCACAATAAACAGGATTTATTCGAACCATAAAGCCATATATATATATATATATATATATATATATATATATATATATATATATATATATATATATATATTTTTTTTTTTTTTTTTTTTTTTTTTTTTTCCGCGGGGATTTGTGCTTTAATGCATTCCCTCGACTCATTTATTGATTTAAAGTCTGAGCGTATTATTCGTTTAGGATATGGGTTCATAGAAGTTGTGCATTCATTTGCAAGTGCTACATAAAGTACATGTAATACGTACGTTTTTATTGTTATAAATCAACACATTATCTTATTACAAACATACGGGAAGGACACACTACACAACTAGGTATTAATGTTATGCTCAATGACCTAGAAACAAGACCCGTGCGTTCTTGTCCTCACATTCCCCGGGGCTCAGTTTTACAGAACTTACTCGGACGCTGGTCTTCACTTTAAGACCCAACTGCTTGATTTCCTTCATTCCACTGTGCTACAGTAGACTATGTGTGCCAAATATGGAGTAGTTCAGTTTACGTAAGATATTAGTTCACGCGGAACAACACAGGTTCATCTGGGATTACACACCTATTCCGTGATTATTCCTTAGTGTGTTTTTTTAACTTTATGACGTTTGTGTTTGTCAGTGTGGTTTAAATTTTCTATTGATCTTAACAACGCGTTCTTTTCCCACCCACCCACATAACCCACATAACCCACAGCGACATCACCATTTGAAGTAATATGTCACGGCAATAACCACTGTCTGTAAACACAATCAAGTCACATTTTTTTCGAGAAGTATCGCTTTAACTTCTGCCTACAAACACTGTGGCTCATAAGGTTTGGGGGAGGGGGTCGAGGAAACACTAACTTCACTTCGTGAATATAAACCTGTAGACGAGGGCATCTTCAAATTAGTACGTGGGAAGATGACTTGATGTGATCTCGTTTTGCTGGCTCTAGTTTTCTTAGGTTGGGTGGTAGAAGAAAAACGGGACACCCCATGGGGGGGGGGGGGTGTACGTGCCTTCTGTCTCTCCCTTCCCCCTGCCTCCCCCCCCCCCTCCTCGTGGCTTCACCCCGGCACATCTGCCACCGGCTAGGGGCTTGGCAGCATTCGTCCGTGAAGGGGTTCATCATTCTGATGATTAAAATATGTCCCCAGAATGATTTTATTCTATTGTATATTGAGTCTGTTTGTAATGTTTGCTGAATTAATTGCTTAATTTGCGTATTTAGGTATGGGAATGGGGCCTTACACGTTAAATGGTGCTCCCGCACGTGGCCCACGTGCTCGACAAAAACAAAACGCTGAGCTACATGTATATAAATGTAAAGAATAGGTCTCCACTTAATTATTTCATTTCCGTCGACTCCCCATCCTGAATCCTCCAGCGTGAGTGCTTACTTACTGTACGCGTGCAAGATGAGACGACTGTATGATGAATAAATGATAAGAAATAACTTACATGTAAACAGAGTGTGCTCTTGATCCAGAAATGCTTAATTCAAATCAATACCTTTAATGTTGTCATTTTGTATTTCGGTTTTAATGGATTATGTGCAAAACAAGAACGGCATATTGCAATTGTGTATGTTCATTTATAATGGCTCAAACTGTAACCCGAACAGCTCCAGCATGCATCAAGCGTGGTAGACAAACGACAGATACATTAATACGATACTGTAATAGCTAGAAGAGCTTGAGTAGAGAGAAGTTTACAGCGCGCTCTCAGGGTAAGCTTTTCTTCCTCAATGTTCTTGTCGCTGTTGCTGTTGTTATAATTATTTCATTAGTCTGCTAATTGAGGCTAGAGACGCAGCTCGCAACTGTGAACAAAATTGAAATAATCCATAGGCAGACAGCATTATTTTTGATTGAATTATAAATTCTTTATTACCGTCAATCTATTTACGACTGAGAGCCCAGCCAGTAGCACTCAAATATTACAGTTTTGTTATGAGACTATGAGACAAAGCGGCAAACCTGGACATTTACTGAGGCAGCGTCAAAGACAAGGAAGGTAAGGCACTACACGTTAATTGCGATCGAACAAATGAAAAATTTCGAATGGTAAATAACTGTAAGATCGGATCCAATCAGCCACGTGTAAAAATAAATATTTTCGGCCCTAAACAGCGCCTACGAGAACACTCAGTCTTTTACGTGCTTAAAAAAGGTAGCAAATAAACATTTGTATAAACCCCTCCATATAAATATATAAATTGATAAATAAACAGTCGTTTTTCAATAAGATAGGCGACAAAGCTGTTTGATTTGAGGAGGACGTTTTTAAACCTTGCCTTTACCGCGTGCCAAGTGATCCGTAGATAAGGAAGAACAGAACTTCCTAGAAGGTTGCGAAGTGCTGAGGTATTACGCGGGTACAATCGGCACACCTCCTTGTGTTGGTTTATTCACGTCATTTCAGCACTTAAAGGTGCTCAATCGACACAGGACAGAAACGACAGTAGGGGAGAGCATGAACAAATCACAGTGAATGTGTGAATGCCATTTTATTTTGCATCAATGTTTCTGGTTTCCAATTATTGACTTCGTGTCGTTCTGGCGGGGTATTTTGCACTTGCAAAAAAATTCGTTTACACAACTTGCATGCTTCGATCATTTTGTAAAACATGAATGAAAATGACATTGGATGTGGGTGTGGTATGTGAAAAATGGACATATTCACATGTTATAGATTCTAGACAGTGGACATGAATTCGTATAGAAAGACGGTATAATTAACTGGGTCTGCCGCTAGGAGTGGTGTATTGCGCAAGACAAGCCTATGCCGCACCCTGATCTGTCCCGAGCTATGAGGGCACGTGTCAGTGTGTCAATAAAAA